AGTGACAGGGTGAGGCTTGCGTTCAATGTGGGGTCAAGGTAGTGCCTCCAGGTCAAGCTCAGCTCCCGGTGACTCCACGGGGTTTTCTTGGCAGCGGTGAAGTGGTTTGCCATCAGGAGTGGGTCTGCCATTTCCCAGTCTGCCCGTAGCCCTGGAAATCCTGGTGGTGTTGCATCCTGAGACCGGGGGGACCCCTTGGGGGGGAAGCGAAGGCTGGCTGGCAGCAGCACCCCAGAAGAGGGCGGCTCTGTGCTGCTTCTGCCCCCCACCGACACGCAGGGCCCCGCCATCTGCTCTGCCTCAGCTCTTCGCTTTGCTATCTTGGGGGCAACTTTTTCTAAACAGCCAAATTAGCTTTGATCCTCCAAAATGTCACGCTCAAATTAAAGACAAAATCAAGTCGGGTTTTCTGTCTGAATTCATTTTCCGACCTCTCACTCCATTAGGGCAACCAAATGAGAGGGTTGGCAGCGTAATTGCTGACTTGAAATATGATTACAAACGGAAGCCGAGATGTGCCCCAACTGGACGTGTTCCCCCCAGCCCAGCCCAGCCCAGCCCCCCCCCACAATTGGTCCTGCTGCTTTCCGTGGAGCCGGAAAGCCTCAAGGGCCTCCTTGCTGCCTCTTGGCCCAATCGCAGGGGGCTCGGGACAGCACGCCTGGGGCGGGTGGGGGCCTCAGCTTTGCTGTAAAAGCTGGACGGTCGGCGTGGAGGGAAACAAGATGCTTTTTTCGGTGACCCTTGAAATTAGCCTGTTCAGCAGCAGGATGTCTGTAAGCTGCCCTAGAAATAACTGGATAAATAGCTGCTGTATTTATTTTCTAGTTTATGGCTTTTTATTAAAACACCACGTTTGCTTGATGCAGCTCCCCCATTAATAAGACAAACGCAACCCTGTACCTGTTTACAGATTTACCTGTTTGCTGGTTGAGTTTGTGCATGCCTGCCTCTCCCCCAACAGGTGTCCAAGCAAATTGGAGAACTGTAAAAGTAGAGTCAAAAGCATGACCAGATCTTAATATAAAACAAGTATTTCACGCCCTTCGTATGAAGCAGTAGTTTAACCCTCTCTTCCTTGGCTGGATGGCAGCATCTGGCCAGTCTTGGGGGATTTGAAAAGCTCCAGGGAGTCCGTGGGTGGGAGGCCTGGGCTGTAACCAGAGTGGAGAGTTGTGGACGCCTCCCTGAAGACTCAGGAAGGGGCTCGACTGGCTTGGCTCCTTTAGCACCGCAGAGCCCTGACAGGGGAGAAAGCTTGGTTTCACGCCCAGGACCCGAGAGCTTCCAGGAGACAGTGGGTGCAGACAGGTCACAACTCCCCCCCTCAGTTTGCAAGGCTTCCTGTAGTTCTTGACCCTGCAATGGCTCATTCCCGCTGCCCCCCATCCGTGCTGACCTTCCCTTTCTGTTGCAGCTACCTTGGAGACGGGCGTTTCCACCTGGAGTCCATCATGATCGCCAACCCTGAAATTCCTGCCTACAGGTATCACAGGGCTGGGAGACCCTCACGGAGAGGACGGGGCCGGGTATCCTGAGGGTCTCCCCTCTGAAGCCGGCCAGCTTGGGGTCTGG